GAGTATTTGAACCTAATGAATTGAATTTAAAAATGTATAAGGTGAAATTGGAAAATCACTTTATGATTACCCAAAATGGAATGTAATTTTAATAAACAAGAATGTGAAATTAGAGAAACTTCAAAAAATGTGTAAGACAGACATTGTAGCATTAATGCTAAATAAATCTTTAACAAACAAACAAAACCATGGGGTTGCCAACCACTTGTACTTACGGCAGAAAGCCATTGAGATCTCGAGTTTAATGTGTACGAGCCAGATATATAGAGATAGGGAAACACGTATGTCAGAGCGAGAGTGGGTACCCATGGATAATATTATTGTTCTAGTAAAAAAAGAAATCTGTAAAATTTAGTAACATATCGACACAATTCAATTTTTTACCTAATTTTTGATTTATGCAGGTACAACAAAGGCTGGGAATGAAAACATCTGGACCATATTTGATGTTAATATTGATTTGTTTGTAGAAAAATGTATGAGATTTCTATAATAAATATATACTTACATCATCCGTAATAAGTACAAAATAAAAGCATGTTAAAAACCTGAATGCATACAAGATAACATCGCGCAGCCAGAGAAGCAATTGCAGAGCCAAATTGGGCAAATATAGATGACTGGCAATATTCTCGAAAACTGGAAGAGGTCTAAAAAACTACTTGATTGCCAGTGAAAGATGAGGCGATACATGTGCATTATATCGGGGAGGGAGGTTTATAAATTTATACAACCTTCAAGTTTGAGGAAACTAGAGGAGTAATTAACCAATATAGTACTGACAAATAACTTCGGAGTAGGCCTTCGAAAAGTGCATTTATAGAAAAAGTCGAAGTAGGAAATAAATGGTGTTACAATTTGGTGTAACATTATTTAATTTCATCTTTAAGAAGTACACTGATTAGCCTAATCTACCTGAAGATAGCCAACCCAATACTATATTCGCGGGGTTTCATTTAAGAAAACTGTCTTGACCTTCAAATGACCTTTAAGGTCACGTTCCAGATCAACAATGGATGAATCCTTTCAAACCTTGCAACTTTGTTCTACAACATTTGCGATAGGAAACGAATTTTTCGAGATTCGCCATAAAAGCCTGACTAACCTTCCTCGGGTTTCAATTAGTGAGAGTACAAATTTTCACGTCTCTCCGTATTGTGGTTCCAACCTGATGCTGACAGACAGGACAGACATTCACATTTAGATATCATTTATATATTATAATTTAACAGGTTAACTGCCATGTGAAAATTTGAAAACATGCCCAACACGCTGAAGTTGAAAATAGGTTCCTTAATACTCTAATAGACACATCCTGCAATTATTTTGCAATTGGAAGTATTTTCACCAATATTATTTGAAAAACTTAATAAGCGGTCATTATGACCGCTCCGGCGTAGTAAGCATGGATTGGTCCCCAGCGCCGAGCGGTCACATGAACGGTATGACCTTCAACGCGACGCAGTCTAGGTAGTGTTATTGTTTTATTTCCGTAGCGTTATATGTAAATAGTTTATAATATTTCGAGTAAGTAGTGTACGTCGGACTAATAATTTATACGGGCAACATGTTTCGGAACAGTCGAAGTATGAAATTGCTCGCGATGGCATTGAATGCCAAAAAAAATGGTAAGTTTCCGTCTATGCAATTAGTGAGGTTAGAAATTTATAATTTACATTTTTGAAGAATCCAGCGATAATGATGAGGATAGCGATGATACGCTGAAGGATAAGCATTACATTCCTTCTTCATCAGACATTTCTACTACTTCCGAGAGCGATGAAAATGGTGCAGACAATCAAAATGCGACGACTTTTTCAAGACATGTGCAACATTCCTCCAACTCTGAAGATTCAATTGATTCGGTGAGTGCAAATGCGAACGACGCAGGTTCCTAATTACTAATCCAATTTTTTTTCTAATAATAAGGTCCCTCCGTCCACCTCATATGTGTTACCTCCAGACCATCAAGAAGCAGCGACCTCTTCAGGACAAGCGGAACATTCCTCCTACTCTGAAGATTCTATAGAATCGGTGGGTTTAGTGAATACTATCGTACAAAGCCCACACAGTAGTAAAAGAGAAGATTCGTGGACAGACGTAGTGGGTAATCATCTTAATTTTCCATAAACTGGAACTCATGGGATTACCCACACCTATTTAGCAGCACTACTTGCCGAAGAAAATATTCCTTTTGCGTGTTTTTCTCTTTTTCTCGACACAGAAATATTAGACGAAGTAGTACATCAAACCAATGTATATGCCACACAGGTTGTTCTTGCGAATGACGTAGCTCCAAAATCGCGATTACATGACTGGCATCCAACGGATCGAAACGAAATGAAAAAATTTATAGGTTTGATTAGTACATGGGACTTGTTCGAATGCCATCCATCGGGGACTACTGGAGCCGAGATCGTCTGTTTAGAAATGACGTTGCTTCATCCACAATGAGCAGAAATCGGTTTGAAATGTTGTTACGTATGTGGCACTTTTCAAATAATGAAGAGTGCGAAGAAGGAGACAGGCTACACAAAATTCAACCCCTCCTTGATTTATTTTTGAAAAGATATCAGGAAGTATATACTCCAGGCGAAGTATTTTGCATAGATGAAAGTATTATTCCTTTTCAGGGAAGATTAATTTTAAAACAGTATATACCTCAAAAACACACAAGTACGGTATAAAACTGTTCAAATTGTGTTGTGACAATGGCTACACGTGGAATATCAAAATATACGCAGGAAAAGAACAAGATAGGGGTGGTTCTGTACCTACAAATGTAGTTCTAAGGCTATCAGAGAAACTTCTAAATAGTGTTGAGCGATATTTTAATACCGGTTATTTTCTACCGGTTATTTCCCAATCACCGATAATATCGGAGATCTCGACAGAACAAAGTAACCGGTAACCGGTCTGAATAGCTACTCCAAGTACTCCGTACATTCGCGCGGTTCCGTCCCAGTTCTTCAGTTCTTGATCAACTGTGCTGCCGTGCTGGAGCTGCGGTTATGGGTTATCGGCTACTTGGCATACGTGAAATAGAATAACTAAAATAACCTCGAACATCGTTCGATGCCGAGTTGCCGCGTTGTCGCGTAGTATGAGTAATAATCATTAATTAGATATTTATACAAACAAATGTAATTCATTTATCTTATCTACATTTGAATTTGATTTGCTGATGTTGTCTTGAGAGGTGGAGAAAAAATGTTAAATAGAAGAATTTATTGTATTCACATAAAGTTTTTACGATTTATTTTATTTTATAATATAGATTCTGTTTTGTTTACTCTGACCCTGAACACATATCAACTTTTCTAATTAAAATGGAACAGCCAATGTATAGTATGTATAAATCTTAGACATGGAATAGTAGATGTTACTTTTTGTGACTACATACCTATTTATTGCAATATAAAAGTGAATTGGAGAATAAGTGAGGACAAACCAAATAAAATACGGAATAATTATTTCATTTATTTCAAAATTCCAAGAAGACTATCTTCTTGCAAAATTCAAAGAACTTTTGTCAGTGGCGTGCAGTGCCATTAAGATAGGCTAGGCAAAATCAAAAATGAAAAATTAAACTATTTTTACCGTCTTTTTGTTTCTCTTCAAAGAAATCCTAAAACTACAGATTACTTTGTTTGGACAGTGTTTTTATTGGATAATTATTAACACTTTGACTGCCGAGCAGGTTGAAGCAGTTTTTCCACCTAGGCCATGGTGTTATTTCTTAATTTCCGGCATGATATACACCTAGAATTTAACTGTATGCATTTTTCAATATGACGTTGTGTTTTTTTCAGCAATTTCAGGAGTGTATCTCTAACGATACACGCGGCCTGTCCGAATTTTTTTTACCACAGGCCGTGTGTATCCCTAGTGATACACCGAAATAATGTATAGATTTTTGTTTCAGGTAGACGTTTTGCGACAAAAAGTGCAAAAAGACTAATAAAAAATTAAAGTGGACTTTACTACTTAGTGATGGTGTTATAACTGTGAGTGACTGTAAAGACAATGGCTAGAAAATATCTTTCAGACGAAGAATTACAACAATATATAGTGAACATAAGTGACGAAGAGTCTTTGGATTCAAAGGATGACCCTGATTATAATGCCTCGGCAACTGATACCAGCGACAGTGATAGTGAAAATTTGACGCCAAGACATAATGTCACTGCTCCAGGAGCTTCTGCAAGCCCTCCGGATAGTTCCCCAAAGCCAGGAACATCTGGAACTTCACCAAACAGATTACCAGCTCAAGGAATATCTGGATCCCCCCAAAACATATCCCCTGTGTCAGCTGGAACTGCAACTGCAGTAGATAGTTTTGAAGATATTATTTGGAGTGACCCGGCCGGAAAACAGCAGCACTTCAATTTCAATGCTGAATGTGGTATGGATCCAACGATCTCAGGAATATTGGCATTAGCTGAACCAATCGATTATTTTTCGTTATTTTTTAACCACGAAATAATAAATATCATGGTAAATCAAACTAACTTGTTTGCCACACAGTATCTTGAACGTGCAAATGATGTCCCAAGTTCTTCACGTCTGCATGACTGGATGCCAACTGATGCAAACGAAATGAAACAGTTTGTGGGTTTGCTTGGATGGATGGGCGTGGTGAAAGTCCCCGAACTTCCCGATTATTGGTCTCAAAATCCATTGTTTTCATTTCCATTACCAAAAAACACCATGCCACGCAATCGTTTTGAGCTTTTACTGAGATTTTGGCATTTTGCTAATAACGACGAAGCAACACCAGGAGATCGCACGCATAAAATAAATGCAATTTTTAATGAGTTTATAAAAAATTTCAAAAATGCTTACACTCCAGGTGAAACCATATGCAAGATGAGACGATGATACCCTTTAGAGGACGGCTAAGCTTCCGTCAATATATTCCGTCGAAAAGACACCGTTATGGAATAAAATTGTATAAACTATGCACTGAAAATGGCTACACTTGGAACGCCAGCATTTACATGGGTAAAGATCAAACGACTGATAAGACGAAGTTAGCTTCATACAATGTCGTTATGAATCTTATTGAGGATCTTCTCAATCAGGGAAGAACATTGTATGTGGATAATTTTTATACTAGTCTGCCTTTAGCTTATAAATTACTTGAGTTACAAACACACTTAGTAGGCACAATGCGTGCCAACCGGAAATATATTCCGAAAGCAATTCAAGATGCCAAACTACGCAAAGGTGAAATAATAGCGAAAGAGTCACCGAAAGGGGTGACAATTATAAAATGGCGGGACCAAAGAGATGTACGAATGTTGTCTACTTGCCATTTGGGTACCGAGACCATTGTTACTACGTCTAGACGTCAAACAGAAAACGTAAAACCTAAATGCATAGTAGATTATGACAAAGGAAAGGCTTCAGTTGACGTAAGCGACCAACTAGCGTCCTATAATACAGCTCTAAGACGCTGTAACAAATGGTACAGAAAAGTCATTATTGAGATTTTGTGGGGTACATCTCTTGTGAATGCATATTTTTTGTATACAAAAAATAATGTCAATGGCAGAGATTTGAACATCACGCAATTTCGACAAAAAGTAATTCTTTCATTGTTGGAAGGTAAAAAAAATACTACTGGTAGTAAAAGAAAACATGTATCCCACCACTTAGTTACCCACGCAGAAAAAAAGAGGGCCAGGTGTGCAAAATGCTATGAAATGTATGGGAAGAAAGGCAAAATCGTAGATGGAAAGAAAACAATGGCATCACAAGTTATTACTATTTGTGACACTTGTGAAGGAAATCCCCACTTGTGTCGGGATTGTTTCAATGCCAAACATTAATCGTGTTTCAAATCATTGTTTGAGTTATTTTATTTATCACAAAAATATCGTTAGAGTTGAGGCGTTATTTTTTTCAATATTAGTTTTGTATCAGAAAAATGAGTTGCGTTTCAAGTTTATTTTTTTCCTTGTAAAATCCTTGTAATTACCTTTATAATACGTTTTATAATAAAAAGATTTTAACCAACATATTTATTCTGCGTTTTTTTTAACCCATTTGCAATATGTCACATTTCAACCAGTCATATATTTTTGACGTAAGCCTCAGGCCAAAACTATGTATACCATTAAATTTGTACAGGCCAAGCCTATAAAATTCCAATATAAAACTAATGGCATGGTGCTCCCTAGCGATACACCACCGTAATAACAATGCTGTTGTTGGTGTATCGCCAAAGATACACGGGGCCTGAGTTGATCACACCCGGTGTATCGCTAGAGATACACCTGGCAGGCAAAGTGTTAAATAATATTCCTATTTCCTATAATTAATTATTACTATATTATTTCGGAGTCTGCCTGACCTGGCAACGTTGACTTCAGCACGAGCTGCTTCATCGTCGTCCTCGTACGTCGGCATCAACGACATGACACAGCTCGTTCTATCTCTGTAATAATCATGACCAGATCCCCGTACCGTATGCGTAGTAGAAATAAATGTGCATGCAGCCTTTATTTCCGCATTTGAGCTAATAGTGAATTTATGAATCTGCCCTCGTCGCGATCTTATAGGGCGCCTACATGAGACATGGATCATATTATATCTATGGATCATATCGATGCACAGACAATATCGATGCCACGTATATCTACTGTTTTTAATGGCCGTAATTGATTGTTATTGTTTTCATGTACCCGATAAAAGAGAAATAAGTTAATTAGATTATTATTATGATTTTAGAATTATTCATAATACCACAGCCGACGTCAACTACGAGCCGTGAACAAAGAAATCTGGCAACGTAGGTGGTAGTGTTACTCCCGCCGCTCAAAACGCTGAGAAAACATAACCTTTTCAATTTGTGATTTTGGAATCGCAGAGGCTGTAATTAAGAGATAAGCTTGTTTTCTAAACTTCAAAGTGTGTGTATGTGTTCAAAGTGATCGGTGACTATAATATATGAGAAATAGACTCCAGTTGTAGTGCTTCTGTGCTTTAAAAATAAACTAAGAAGTGTGACTGTGGCTGTTCGCGCCTCAGGACGCTAAGGATTTCAACTATTGAAAACGTGCAAATTCTGGTTGTATTTTTCAAATTTCAAATAAAAATGACATGGCTAAAACTGTTTTAGCCTTCAGCATTTGGAAACATAACAGAAATTATCAAATTACTAACAGTTTCAAATCTAACAGGTGATGAAATGACACCTTTGGTTGAACATGTGATAAATTTAGTTCAAAAATGTGGATTTGAAGTTATTTGTGTTGTTACTGATAATCACCGAATTAATAGAGCAATGTTCAGGAAATTAGCAAAGGATTCATCAGAAAATTATTCTATTCCAAATCCACATAATCCTGATAAGAACATATATTTAACTTATGATGTTGTGCATATTTTCAGAATCAGAAATAATTGGATTAATTTAAAAAACCTAGACAAAACTTTTGTATATCCTAATTTTGACAATACTGATATTATTCAGTATGCTAAATTTGAAAACATTCGTGCTGTATATCAATTGGAAAAAGAAGCTGTAGTTAAGAAAGCATATAAATTAAATTATAAAACATTGCATCCAAATTCATTTGAAAGGCAAAATGTAAATTTTGTAGATAATTTATTCCATCACTCAACAATAGCTGCTATGAAGGAATTAAAGTTTAATGATGCTGCACACTTTTTGGAAATAATCAGGAATTGGTGGGATATTGTCAGTAATACAAGTGTAATAAAAGGAGAATTGAAGCGAAACGAATTTTGTAAGCCTATTACCAATAAATATGATTATAGAGTACAATTTTTTAAAAAATTCCTGATATGGTTAGAAAAATGGCATAATCTAGAGAATAATAATGGACACCTGACACCAGAAATGTATACAGCTCTATATCAAAGCACGCTGACTCTACTTAATATAATTGAATATTCATTTAATCAATTTGACATTGAGTATGTATTGCCTGGAAAATTCACCACTGATAATTTAGAAAAACGATTTGGCAATTATAGACTTTTATGTGGCTGCAATTACAATGTGTCATATGATGAAATTTTAAATGCTGAAAAGAAAATACGGCTGAAGCATATTTTCAATGAAAAGAAATCGTCATTTTCTTTAGCAGAAATTAAAACAAGGTTCCAAAACTGCTTAGAAACTCAAGAAAATTTTGATTTCTTGGATACCAAACAAAATCCTGAAGTTTTGGATATATTCAATGAATTATTTGAGACAAATTACTTAGCCAATTGTGACATAGAGGATAGTACTAAGACTTATATATCTGGATATGCTTCACACGCTATCTCTAAAAACCTAAACTGCGAGATATGCAAATCGCTAATAGTTAAAGAAAAAGGTTCATTAACAACAAATGTTTATTTTGATTATTTGCAAAGAGGAGGACTGTCAATTCCAACCAGTTATGTACCAATCATATTCTACCATATGTATGCCATTTTTGAATCTATTATTAATGTAGATAGATTGGAAATTTTCTTCTTGAAAAGCAATAATCAAAAATTTATTTTGTCAGTTAACCTTGCTCAGCATTCAGTCTGACTTTATTTACAGTGAATTTTCTTTAACTTGCATCTGTGGCCGCAATTATGCAGATATTTTATCTAAGCTTTTGTCTATTTTTTTAAACATAATTTTGAATGATTATGTAAAATTGAAAAATAACAGTAAAACTGAAAGTAAATGTATTAAAAACAAACAGGTAACTCCACATTTCCAAGCTGGGCCTGTTGGAACACAGTGTGCTGACAAAGAAAAACGTAAACTAAATACTTTTAATTAGGTTAACTGCATTAGCGACTCATATATATCACGATTATTTCGTATTTTTAAATTTTTTAGAGCTATTTCATATTCAGATGATTTGTATTGAATCGAACTGTCCTCTTTTCCAAAATTAAATTTAGTTCTTGAACGTTACACGGAGACGGAGCACACAGCCGCAGCCGGCCGACGTTCACAGGTAGCACTACCATGCCGTCCGAGCGCGGTGTTGCCTTTCTTTCATCACGGCTCGTAGTTGACGTCGGCTGTGATAATACCTATTATGTACAAGAGTATGATATTTTTCTTAGGGTAGGCTACGCCTTTTTGCTTATATTGTATGCCCGCCACTGACTTTTCATATCTTTCTCAAAATCTGTTATTTGCACTCAATATTATGTTACTTTTCGACCAGCCCTACTGGCAACACTGGCAGGAACGTAACCTCAAAGAGCCAGAGGTAACATTACCGGCAAACAGCTTCGTCTAATAAAAAATATTGGCGCGTATTGTGCTATTATTTGGTGTGTTCTGTGTTGTAATATTCAAAAACAAAAAGGTATATTGTAAATTCATTTATTAAATTATTTATTTATTTTAATTATTTCATTCTAGCAGCGCGAACATGTCCAGTCGCCAGAAAAGAAGTAATTTATGGAACTTTTTTACAGAAGTCAAAGGACTGCAAGGAAATTACTATGCGGCTTGTAATATATGTAAGAAAGAATTATCATTTAGGAGCACAAATTCAAATCTGAAAAAACTTCTAATCATCCAACTGTGGATCTTTCATCACTAGAACAAAATAGGAAAAAGCGGACCCGTGAAACACTAATCAATGACGATGAAGATTCTCAACAGGAACCATCTACTTCTGGTGGAAATTCAGTAACCAGAAATCCAGATGAAAATGTTCTAACTAGGTTCCAAATTTCAAAATCGTTATCCCAGCCGGCGGCGGTGACGGCGCCGTCAGCTGAATCTTCAGGACCAGAGCCAAAGAAAAAAACACAACAATCTCTCTCTTCTTATCTACCACGAAAAATTAATTTAAACTTACAAAATCACATTAATGACAAGCTTTTTAATCTATTCACAAAAGATTTTCAACCATTTCGTGTCGTAGAAGATAAAGGATTTCGAGAATTCGTAGGATCCCTGAATCCAGCTTATACGTTACCAAGTAGACAATATATTTCAAAAACTATGTTACCAGCGAAATATGAAGAAAGTTGTATCAATACGAGAGACAAAATTAAGACTGGGATCAGGTTTTGTCTGACGACTGACACCTGGACATCCGTTTCCACTGAAAATTATATCGCAGTTACAGTTCATTTTCTCAATGAAAGTTTTGTTTTAAATTCTGTGCTGCTGGAATGTTCAATTTTGTCGGGGTCGCATACTGCTGAATGCTTATCAGAAGAACTTAACAGAATAACTACAAACTGGGACATTAAAAATAAAATAATGCTATGTTACCAATACAAGCACTATACCTTCTAGAAAAAGCCTGAAGAATCATATATTGATTAGAAAAGAAGGAAAAGCGGTTACCGTAAGAAAATACTGCCGAGGTTGTTATAGAAAAAAGATGGCTGGGCAAATACAAAAAAACCAAGTGAAAAGGATAGCATATTTCTGCGATGACTGCGAGAATAAGGGCCCCCGCGCACTAGGCACCCTGGCTACGCAGCCAGGCTGCGGCAGCCAGTAAAACATATGACGTTGTATAGGAGTCCGCGCACTAGGCAGCCACGAATTCCCGGCTGCTGCAGCCAATACAACGCGCCTGTTTGCACGGCAGCCGACTGGCTGCCAGCAGCCAGAACGTGTGTAGGCGAATGTATGTGGCTGCGCCAGTCTCCGCGCACTAGTTGTAGCAGCCAGACGTATTTTGCGTTCCGAACTTTTTCAAAAGATGACTTTCGATACAGAGAAATTTATTCGGGAAATTGAAAGCCGTAAAGCAATTTGGGATATAACATCAGAAGAATACAGTGATCGTGATTTAAAGAAAAGAAGATGGGAAGAAATCACGAACACAATGTGCTCGGAAAATTTATCAGAAAATGAAAAAAATGAATTTGGTAAGCATGTATTTTTATTATCTGGATTATACAGTATAATACAGGGTGATTCTGCACCACCAATCAATATTTTTGTAAGTTATCGCACAATAACTCTATATTAGTTATATATTATTTTTTTTACTTAACTAGGTATTTTCACCTCGATGTTTTATTTAGATAAATAGGTAAGCACTATTTTAATGCATATCTGTTTTGCCATTCTAACGGATTTGCATCAATAAAATAATCCGCAAATAAATCCCTATAAGATGCTGATGATCGGCTGCCTCTATTTGTGGGTCCCCCGGTTATTTCCAGTTCTGGTGGAACGTACAGTGTGTCTTGAAATATATACCCGTCTCTTTCGCGCACGTAGTTATGTAAGACTTGTACTATGGCAATTGCAAGTTCCTGTCGGACATCTAGTGGACGGTGAAAAATTCTCCATTTGTTGGCTAAAATCCCAAACGTGCATTCTATGTACCGCCTTGCCCGAGACAGTCTATAGTTGAAGATTCGTTTCTTCGCTGTTAAACTCCTACCTCCATAAGGTCTCATTAAATTTTCACATAAGCCAAATGCCTCATCCCCCACTATGACGTATGGCATCGGTACTCCATTATTTGATATGGGGCGCTTCTCCGGGATTTTTATATCTTTGTTAACAAGTTTTTGATACAAAATGGATTTTTTATATATAGATGAGTCACTACATTTTCCATAAGCCCCAACATCTATATATGTGAACTTGTAATCTGCATCGCACACAGCAAGTAAAACGATGGAAAAATAATTTTTTATAATTATAGTACAGTGATCCTGAATCGCTGGGTTTTATTACTCTTATATGCTTTCCATCGATGGCACCAACGCAATTGGGATAGTTTGCATTTTCATTGAAACCTTTTGCTATTTCAAGCCACCTCTCTTCATTTAATTCTGGAAACGATGACTGTCTCATATTCTCCCAAATTGCCATGCAAACTTCATATATGATATCTCGGACAGTTGTATGTCCAATCCGATAATTATGACTCAATTCCATCATAGAACATCCTGTAGCAAGATATCTGTAACAAAGAACAAATATTAATTTTCAGGTAAATCTCTACAGAGCAAGTGGAAGAACATCAGGACTAGTTACAATAGGGAAGTGAAACGCAGAGCTGGTATTAAAAGTGGATCAGCAGCTTCGCGCAAGAGTCCATACGTATATTTCGAACAACTTCATTTTCTTCGGCCCACCGTAGTTATTAATGAAACTCAAAATAGTATGGATGAAACACGCACTGCCGAAACCAACGATAACAGCGGTAGTACTCAAGGTGAACGACATGTTTCCAAAAAGAAGAAGAAGAAGAAGTGGCGACGACAATTTGGCGCAGGTATTAAAGGAAAGTATTGTAATGAGAGAAGAGCGTGAAAGACAGCACGAGTCTGATTCAGATAGACTATTTATGCTTTCACTTCTAGATAATTTTAAAAACATCCCGAGACATCGTAAGCTTTCTACAAAAATGGAGTTAATTGAAGTTATAAAAAGAGCTCTAATGGAAACTCACGATTCCGAATTTAGTCCGTTTCGGCAACGTTATGTTGATTATGAACCAGGGACATCGGCCGCCACATCATATAGACCACAAACATCGTTCAGGGGACAATATCGCCAAGGTCAAGGATACTCGACTGAATATGGACCGGAAACCACAAGTGGTGGGCAGTATCACTATATGCACTCGACACACTCGAATTATAGACCAGAAGCCTCGACCACTGAATACGGCTGTTCCAGACAGGCAAGACAATACTGTTTATACTGATGCGTTATCACCAACTGACACAAATGCAACAGATACGTCTCAGGGTTCTGAATTACTAGAATTATTTACTACACAGGACAACTTGAACTAGGAAATTCATTACCATACATGTAAGAAATAAATAATAAATGTTATGACTAATTAACAGTAATTGAAGAGTTTAACTTCTAAAGGGTCTAAGTGCCAATTGACGAATTTTTAGTTAGAGTATGAAAAACAAAGAGTCTATGTGCCAATAACATATCTAAATGGTTCTACTGTTAATCCAAAAATAAAATAAAAAATATGTAATAGGCTTTTCGTATTGTTTTTGTATTGTTTTTCTCGTTAATCCCAAAATCATAATTTTGGCACTTAGACCCTTTAGAAGTTATACTCTTCAATTATCTATCATTTTCGTACTCACCTCAAAGTTATCACCAGTTTTTCTTCAGGACTTATACAAGCTCGCATACGAGTATCAATACCCTTGATTGAATTTCGTATTTTTTCCAAAAGGTTATCAAACGATTGCACTGACATTCTCGTGTAGTTAAAAAACCGGTCTGGGAATGCATGAACATCTTTGAAATAGGTTTGGAATAAGCCTTTTGAGTGTCTTTCTACAAAAAGAGGATGAATCCAGTGTCTTTTCTTTGTTTTGCGTTTTTTACGAGATAGATAAGCAATAATTATAAGTTCTTCCACGTCCATATCGCTCGACGGAAGATCTAGACTAGTCGTTGATTGGCTGCTATGACTGGCTGCGCAAACATTCTGGCTGCCGCAGCCTGGCTGCGTAGCCAGGCTGCCTAGTGCGCGGGGGCCCTAAGCCCCATTTTTGCCTTTCTTGTTTTAACGAAAAGCACAAGAAAACATAAAATATTTTATTTGTGAAAAACAGAACTATTTCTTTCTTTGTTTTAGAATAGCAGTGTTTATTTTATTGCGTAGATATTTCCACTATTTTGTAACTTACTTACTAATAAAAGATAGAAATGTTGTCCTTGATTTATTTCCATATTTCTAATGTAAAAAATACTCAACCGAAAAATTTCTATATCACACGTGTTCACACACGCCGGGCGGTCATCTTTCCGGCACAATTAACATTCAGTCGGCGGTCATACATGGTAGATAGGCAAGACCACGTAGTTCCTCTAAGCGGTCATAATGACCGCCACGGCAAAATTGGCCATGTTACCTAGCGGTCATTATGACCTCTATGGCAGTTAACCTGTTAAAAGCCGGAGTGCAAAATTACATTTACATAAGGACCCTGGAATCTCTCATAGAAAAAAAATTGATTTTGTACATTTTTGGTATTGTCAGCACAATAGACTAGTGAATAATTTCCAAAAAATCACTTTCGACTCAAATATCTGCTGAATAAATCATCATATCGCAATGTTGAGGTTAAACAGTCTTATGGTGAGGCCCATGTCGTTGCTCTTGATATCAAGAAGGCATTCGATCAGCTGTGGCATGCTGCCCTCTTAAGCAAACTTCCAACATATGGCCTTCCTGAGAAGCTTTGCAGATGGGTGACTGACTTTATCTCTGGCTGCAAGATAAACGTCGTAATTGACGGGTTCTCCTCTTTATCCCACAATGTCAATGCGGGTGTTCCCTAGGGATCGATCTTGGTTTCGAAACTGTTCCTCTTACATATCAACGAGCTCCTTTCCTGTACGATCAATCCAATTCACAGCTTTGCTGATGACAGCACTCTACAAGCAGGAATCCAGAGCGACAAGCCGATCTCTGCTGGACAGCTATCTAAAAAGACTAGCAGCGACTTCCTCTCTGATAATAGACCTACAGGTTGTCACTGCCTGGGAACGCAACAATCTTGCATAGTTTAATGCTTCCAAAACACAGTACTGTAGCTTGACGAACAAAAAGCGTCCTAGCGCTCATCTGGTTTCGATGGATGGCCGAGTTCTGCCAAAGAGCCGTTAATTTCGGCTGGTCCGAGTCCAGAATCTCCGAGGACTTGATCTGGCTCGAACACTTTTCGTCAATGGCGGCAGCTGCTGGGAAAAAGCTAGGTCATTTGTAGGTACTCTGCAGCAAAAACATTGAGCCTGATCTGAGATATGACCCGTCAAGCCAGGTCGTGGAATTTTAGTTGTGACCCATACTTATATAGATTACAAGAGAGGTTGATCCTTTGTTGGAAGGTTTATGTAATGTTTGAGCATATAATTTTCTTTAAAGGGAAATTATATTGGTTTTATTATTTCTAAAGGCATAATTACTGTGATCCTATTGACCACAGCGCGATGGAAATTGTATCTTTTTGGAAAATATGTTAATCAGTGGTTCCACTTATCGTGAATTGACGTTACAGCTCGCGAGTTTACGAAACGTGACAATGTCTTCCCGTCTTATTTGTCCCACGAACCCATTTTTACCATTAAATTATATTTGATCACCGATAATAGCCTTGAAAATCGTTGCACCATGTGATGTATTGAGTAAATAAATAATATACATAAATGTTACACAAGTAAACAAACCAACATTGGCACAGAATCAGTCAAATAAGAACAAATTTTATAATGAAAAATAAACACGTGTTTCAAATAAAGCATACACATTCCTAGACTTTTTCTTGGACACCAGACACTGTATAACTTGAAAAAGAAGTTTTAGTACAAAAATGGAGTCAAACTGATTCAGTATATCCTAAGAAATATGGAACATGCCTGATTTGGGCACTATATTTTTTTACTACGCCAAAAAGTTGAGAAATCCCGGAAAATTAAGCTTCGAATTCGATGAAAATTTTGACGCATTAAAAAAATGTGCCTACATCCAAAATCAGATTTGGAAAAAGTATTTGAGAACGTCCTGAAATGTTTCATTTTGCGCTCTTCTTTTTTGAAAACTAATTAGTTTTGATATACAGTGTTTGATATTGTTTCATATCTTTGTACTGTCCTCTAGAATTATAGAGCAAATACTTTGAGAAATGAGACACATCGAGGCAGAGCTATAACAAGCAGAATATTTTCAAAATTTCATGTTGATCTAAGCGCATTTCTCTCGCCACAGAGGACTGGTCTGTCATAACATTATTCTTGTGTGTGGAAAATTCCACTGTATGTCAAATATTTACTGCTACGCACACAGTGCGCAAGTCTTCCACATTTATTCTTAGTTGATACTTGAGTGATCGTCAACTAGAGATTTAACATTTGTATTTCACAGTAGGCTGCAACAGTTGCCGTCATGGGTCTTCAGGGTTTTCAAAATGCTTTTTTTAGATTTTTAGAATTTCCAATTTTTATTAAAATTTCCGTAAGCGTTAAAAATTACGAAAACTAGAAATTTTGAAAATACTGTAATTTGGAAAAAGTAGATTTTCAAACAAAATTGAAAATTTTGAAAGTTCTGGGGATTGAGTTTTAAAAAATTTGAAGTATCTAACATTTTGAAAAATCCTACAGGTATTGAAAATATATTTGAAAAAATCAAAAATTTTTAGGAATTCAAAAATTTTGTAGGATTTCAAAAAACCTGAAAACTTCATTAGTTGAAAAATTTTGAAATATTGAAAAGTCTGAAAACCTTATAAAGTGAGTTTTAAAAAAAAATTAAGATCTGAAAATTTTAAAAACTGAAAATTCTGAAAATTTTGACTGTTTAAAAATTGTGTGACATCTTCAATAATTCGAAAACTGAAAATTTTGTAAATTCAGGAAATTTGAAAATATTAGAAAGTCAGAATTTTCTGGAAATCGAAAATTTTGAAAAATCCTGTAAGTATTGAGAATATTGAAAATCCTGATTATTCCGGAAATTTTGAAAGTCTGTTGTAAGAATAAATGCAAATGTTGAATCTCCACTTGAGGGTAATCAAGAGTGAGTTACTATTCGTTTAAAATTGAGGGTCGACTATACATGTAGGCATTTTTTCATTTTTTCATTCTTGAACAAAATCTGATGTTACTGCAATCATAGGATTTCTCCATGTTGCAGTCATTATTTTTTCTACACTATGTAGAATAACCCTTCGAACTGAAATAATATCATTACTGGAAAATATATCTGGGTATTTGAGAACTTGCAAACACATCAGTCGTTCGAGGCAGCTATAACGTGTAGTTGTTTCCCTTTGCTTTTGTTGTAAACTTGCCCTGGGCTGAATGGTTCTAATCTGGGGTGAACGTCTCCTTTACTTGCTTTGTCTGTAACAAATCAAATATATTGAGAGTACTGGAGCACTGTTTTTGCTCAGAAATTTCTCACTTTATCGATGTCAAACAAAAAAGGATTTTTTCAAAGAATCACGATTTCCAAAAATATAGATTATACAAATAGTCTCAGTGAGTCTATTTTTTATGGACACCTCAAGGAGATAATTCTAAAAATTTGTCAAGTTTTCAGCAAAACAACATGTTGCTGGGTTTTTCTAATCATTAAAGGTTCTATCTAACACAATAATAATAAGCGTTTATTGCCCAACAGTTTAACAAAATTTACAGAGCAAACTACTATAAAAAAAAATCACCATGAGGTAGCTTGTTAAGAAAAAAAAACAATAATAATTCATGTATCAATAACAAAAAATAAATATAGTTACAGCTTAAAAATAAGAAACGTAAGATAAATCAAAAGTGAGCACGCAATTTGCACTTCAATTCACCTATGCTATATAAGAATATGTCACATACATCGGCTATTTTATTCGCATTCACACACATCATGTTGACAGGCGCTTTCGACAATAATAAGTTTGTTTGAGCTCTTTGACATAAAAAAGGAACATTATACCTTGATGTTAGTCGTGGTACCAGAAACTGTATTTGTGAAAGTATTGTAGGGCAGTCTATTAGATTATGCAGTAATTTATATAAAACTATAACTGCTGATTGCTGACGCCGTTGTTCTAAGGATTGAATGCCAAATTTATGAAGAAGGATGTTGTATTCTGTACCTCTAGTAGGATATATGCCATCGATCTTAAAACATAAAAATTTTAAAAATTTCTTTTGAAGTTTATCAACAACATCAATATACTGCTTGTACTCCATATCAAAGATCCATATTCAAGCTTAGACCTAACCAAGCTAAAGTATAATGTCTGCAAAGTCAAAACGTCAAAAGATTTACAATTCCTGATAACGAAGCCATAGGTTCGGTAAGCACTTGATATGATTTGATTGATATGCTCATTAAAGGTTAGATGTTGATCAAAGTAGATACCTAAGTCTTTCACAGTTTCACTGCGCTCAAGAACATGTTGGATCATTGTATAATTATATACCATTGGGTTGGTTTTCCTTGAAAAAGTTACTACTTTACACTTACTTATATTAATATGAAGTTGATTCTTGGCACACCAGCTTTGCAATTTATTTATTTGACCTTGAACAAATGCACAGTCTTCCAAGCACGAAACGGATGAATAAAATTTTAGGTCGTCTGCAAACATTAACTTAGAACAAGCCAAAGATTCACACAGATCATTCACAAACAATATGAACAACAGTGGTCCTAAATTCGAACCCTGTGGTACGCCACTGGTTGAGACATAAACATGTGATATGTAGCCATTATAAAAAACATACTGTTTCCTTTCAAACAGATATGATGTTAAGAGCGCTAAGTAAATGTTGTTGAAGCCCAGGTACTCAAGCTTTTGGAGCAAAATACTGTGGCTGACCCTATCGAAGGCCTTGGAGAAATCGGTGTACACCACATCTACCTGTCCTCTATTGTCTAATCTTTCGCACGAGTATTGGCTAAATACCATTAAGTTTGTTAGTGTTGAACGCTGCCTTATAAAACCATGTTGGTCGATGGAAATATTATTTTTAGTGGACAGGTAAATGCGGTTGTACAGTACGATCTCCAAGAGTTTTGCAAAATTATTGAGTATAGATATAGCCCTATATTCACTGATACAGTGATAATTTTTTCACTTTGGAATTGGGCAAACTTTGGCAATTTTCCATTTATCGGGGAAAACAGTCGTTGTTAGGATTAAATTGAAGATAACCCGTAAAGGATGAACTAATTTCCTGATACAATCTCTAACAATAAAAGATGGGATTTGATCAGGTCCAGCAGTCAATTTACTTTTAAGCTTTCTACAGGCCACTAAAATTTCCTCATCTGATATTGGCTCACAACTAATGTCGACGAGTCCACTATGACTGAAATCAAAGTTCAACTCAGTATCGACTTTAGCAGTTGAGTAAACGCTGGAGAAAAAATCAGCGAAGGCGTTGACTATACTTTGCGGATCACCAAATGACTCGTTTCCATACAGCATTCTATTCGGAATCCTAGAAGTGTTGTTTTTACTATGTACGAAAGACCAGAAAGACTTAGGGTCATCATTTAGCTGATTTTGAATGGTTTGAAGATAGATATTATATGCCTCATTGGTTTTAAGCTTAAATATTTTCCTGATTCTGCTGAATTCTTGGTAATCTTCGTTAGCACCAGACCTTTTAAATTTTTTGTGCGCTTTGTCTTTTTGTTTTACTAGTTTTATAATTTCACTGGTGTCCCAAGAGGGATATTTATGCCTGAAATTTTTATATTGTGGAGCGTGTGCATCGAATAATTCGTAAAGTTTGGAATAAAATGCATTAATTGCATCATTTGTGTCACTAGTGTTATCCAAGAAATCCCAATTAACCAATAACAAAGGATTGTACAGCGAAAAAAAGTTAGCACGTCTAAAATTATATCTTTTTTGGTCAGTACCGACTGTGACGTATTCACTCTTTTTGCAGACAGTTTTTAATGTTACGGACAAAGAAGGATGATACACGTCTTCATCCACTAATGGAGCTAAATCTCTATAAACAATACAATTAATGTTACTTATTACTAAGTCCAGGATTCTATCATATTGGTTATGAATATTATTATACTGTTTCATGTTCCAGAAGTTGAGCCAATTAACAATGTAGCGGGTCTTTGCGTCATTTAAATTATTTTCCACAAAGTTTGGAGAATTGAAATCACCCAGAAAGACAACACGTTTGGAATGCATGATTTCCCAGTTTTCTAACATTTCAAAAAAAGCTTCAAATTGTAACGGTTTCACCGTCCGATCGTATTTATTAAATCACTTCTCGATTATCATTTCATTAATCCCATCTCTAGCTTTTTTGCTTGGAAAATTTTCCGCTTGGAGCGCTTGATGCGGAGTTCCTGATCTGCGATCTTCCTCGCGCTTCCTTTTCACTTGAGCCGCCGATCGAACAACGGCTAGAAATTTCTTCTCAGTAGCACAAGGTTATATAGCACCATGTGCTAGAATTTTCTAGGATGTGTGTCCGTATAGGACAAAAATGGTGAGTTTTATAATACTATACAGTTTTATTGCTGGATCTGCCTGTAGTTTATAGATAATCGATAAGTGATTTATTTCTTGTACGATTTTAAAATATCCATCGAACGTCATTTTCGACTACTTCGATCATTCGCCATAACTTTAATCAAATCGAGGTGGAAATCGATCCACATCGATTTTACCTCTGTGCGCGTATATATATTCATAGTTCAGTGAAATTATAAGTACGTTGATTATGAATATTCGATGATTGTGTTTTTATATCAGAAGCATGTGGAGAAATTTTTGATGACCACCATCTTGTTTTACGCTTTTTTTTTGCTATTTCATGATTTTATTTTATGAAAGGCATTTCCAATTTTCGGTTTGATTTCATCAAACTATATAATGTAATTCTAATCTAGAAAATCGTTGGTTCTCTTTTGAGGCAGACTGAGATTGGAAATGCCTTGGCCATTAGGGCACGTTGCTAATGCACATGGTTCTTTTTCAGATTGGGGCCACCCCCTTTCTCTTTCCCTTTCACTTTGCCTAGCCTTGGCCAATATTTTCACCCATGCATGTACCTTGGCAGCGCCATCGCCTTTAACTTCGCCTACAACTGGTTGTGAAGCCACTATATGGAGGTCACCCCTCATAACTGGGACCTCCCCTTCAAGCCCCTGGCCATCCTGGCTTCAGTCGAGTAAAAATGGACCAGCGAAAGATAAGTCGATAGCGTTATAGCAGCGCCAAAGATGTAAAACTTATTTTGTTATTTTTGTAAAATTGTAATGTAATGAAAATGCCTTTTTTTTGTTAAATAAAATCTGTTAAATTTTTGTGTTCTGTTTGTTCTTCTATCCTCTAGCCATGCCATGGTCGACACACAGCTACACGCCTGTAGATGTCTTCATGCCACCGACTGAGCTACCGGAAGCTAATGTTAACCCCCTTTCTGTGATTGTGCAGAAAAGTTGGAATCTTCATTGCATTCCATCTTTTCTGGACTTTTTGCGGAAAGGAAGCGTTACATAAATTGGCGCCCAACGTGGGGCACGATAGGTGTTTGGCTTTGTCGACAAGTGGTTTGCTAGTGGAAGATTGGCAGACAGAACCTAGTTTTCAAAATTCTTTACAATTTTTGGCAGCATTTCTATTTTTAATTGCTTTTGGTACTCAAATTTCTGAATCCTTAATCATCCTTACTTTTTGCTTAATGTTTAAATTTTTTATCAGAAGATTAAAATTTTTCCACCTGTTTATTTCATAGGCATACTATTAACTTTTAAATTGTCTTGTTTAGTAGTCAGCGAGATCATTGCCAGAATTTTTTTTTGTCTCACATACTACTACAGTTTTTATTTACTGCTGGGGACAGTTATAACTTTTTTCTCATTGTACTTTTGAGATTGATGATATTTTGATATTTTTTTTTGTTGTTGAATATTGATAGTCTGGGGACTTTAGGTTTCCCAGCATTTTTGTCGAATATCATCAAACTTTTGATTGAGGTTGTGACTATTGTTGTTGATAGTTTACATATTCTTATATGCTTTTCATTTTTGATCACTAACCTCTTAGTTTTTGAAAGTATTTCTTCATGTGCAGTTTTTTTGATTTCTTGAGACTTTTCATGTATGCATATATAGCCTAATTGTTGGATCTCTGGTGTACTGATATAGCTCTCATGATGTTTGGTATGTAGGAAATTTACTTTCAAAATTATTTTTGCCTTCCCCAAATGTATTTACTTTTTGAATTTTTGACTGTACTTGAACTTTTGATCATTTGTTTTCATTCTGATGGCAATAATCTACTGACTAGAGTTATCTGGAGTAAATCATTTTTCGATTTATCCATTTTTCTGAATTATATGAAATTGATATTCATAAT